TTCTTTCTTTCTTTCTTTCTTTCTTTCTTTCTTTCTTTCTTTCTTTCCTACTTCATAGCAAAGACGAACAAGAACACACCAGAGGGAAACAAAAACAACATAGACTTGGTACTTTCTAAGTTTGTGTTTACCTCATTGTTGGTGATGGCTGTGATTTTATTTTATTTTTTTTGTTGTTGTTCGCTACTTCTTTTGGAGTTGACATCTTCCACTGATTGATTTTATACGCTCTAAAGCACAATATTAATTGAAGCTACTCCTTCACTTTTGTATGGGAAGAAAAAATTAGGTGCATTGATGGTTTCTGAAGAAGCACGGGTTAGTTGGTTCAAGCCAATTGGCTCTCAAAATGCTGTCTATAGAAACTACAGATAAATGGTTTGGAATTCCCATTCTCCTTTGCTTTGTTGAAGCTGGGCTCTGAACTCTTGCTGTTTCTGAGCTGCAGGCACTTGAGAGAAAAATCTAAGCTTGTAGCACAAAGCCCCCTTTCATCACACGATTCAGGTTGTCATTGTTTCTCGCCACACAGTGAAGCAAAGCTTGAAAATCAATCCACTGCTCCAATTGTGGTAACTACAGCAGCTGGAAAAATGTTCTTCGAGCTTGAGATGTTATATTAGTAAACAAAGGCATGATACTTACTAAGATGTGATAGTCGGGAATTTTAAAAAGCATTCTGAGCATACAAATGGACCTGGTATTTACCAACAAACTTCATTAATTAGGAGTTATCATTTATGTGTTAAGGATGAGAAGACTTGCAAAAGGTTATACAGCTACTAAATGATAGAGCTAAGGTTCGCACTGAACTGGGCTAGTTCCATTGGCCCTGAAATTTTCTTACTTATAATTGTTGACTGACTGAATATATTGTGTACATATAATGTGTCCAATAGGATACGATGTGCTTTGAATAAAAGTCTCACCCTGTTTTGAATAACAAGAAATGTAATAAATGCCGTTCAGACCTGTTGAGAGTGAAAAGTTCCTATTCAGAGTTATTGTCTAGAGAAATTATTGAGGGTGACTGTTCTGAAAAGATACATCACATAGAAAATTATTGAGAACGACACAAAGAAACCACGTGCTTAGCACTGTTTAAGTCTGTATACTAAATATCTCAGCTACGAATTATGAAAGGTAGCAATTTTGCTTCCTTCTTCCCAAATGCTAGCTTCTGTTATATGTCAGTGGATTTTTGTAAGCATAAAACATAAACGGTATCTACAATCTACAAAATAATCCATCCCTTTCCTACAGTTTAAAACAACCACATTGTTTTATTGTTGTTTCTGGATTACTGTGGTCCTGGGAGAAAACCTCATCCCACCTCACAGGCAAATCTTCTTAGCTTATATATTAGTCATGATAACCTGGTTCATTTTACCAATGGTTGCTTTGAGACTGTGTGACACAATGTGACCATGTTGTACTATAAAAAGAAGTTTCCTTTTTTTGGGGGGGGTACTTTTTTTCTAACTTTAATAGTGAAGTTATCCACAGAAATCAACACCTCTACTGTTTGGTACTGTAATTATTCTGGGACCTGGAACTGTTGGGATTATGAGAGAAAGCAGTGACAAAAAGCTGATACTTTTATTGGTGACAGAGTTTGAGGTTAGTAGTAACCATAACTTTAACTGTGATGGTGAGTTGTCTCAGTAACTGCTTTTCACCATGGGACCAGTGAAAAGGAGGCAACCATGTTTTTCTTTCTTTCTCACCCCACCCAACATAATATTTTTATGGATCATTGGGAGTTTCGCAAAATGTACCCCAATCACGTTCACTTCTCTGTCTTCCCAGGTTCACCTGTCTCCCTTGTGACTTCCCTAAAGTGAAGAAAGAAAAAAAGGTACTAAGTTCAAGTTCAGCCTACAGAATGGAAAAAGGTTTATAGCAAGTATACACCAGACAGAGAGCAGATATCCAAAATATATAAAAAAACACATAAAAGTAGATAAGAACAAAACAAATAATCCAAAAAATGGGGTACACATCTAAACAGAGAATTCTTAACAGAGGAAACTCAAATGGCTGAGAGACACTTAAATGTTCATCATTGTTGGTCATCAGGGAGATGTAAGTCAAAACTACTTTGATATTTCATCTAACACCCATCAGAATGACTGGGATCAGTAGAAGCAGTACCAGTAGTGAGAAAGAAGTGTAAACTTGTACAGCTACTGTGGTAAGCACTCAGGAAAATGTGAATCTATCCAGCTACACCACTCTTGGGCATATACCCAAAGAATGTTTCATCCTACCACTGAGACATTTTTTCAACTATGTTCATTGTTGCTCTATTCATAACAGCTAGAATCTGGGAAGAACCCAGATGTCCCCAAAATGGATGAATGGATAACGAAAATGGGATACATTTTAACAATGGAATATTACTTGGCTGTTAAAAATGAAACCATAAAATTCACAGGTAAATGGGTGTAACTAGAAAAGAAATCATCCTGAATGTGGTAACCTAGACACAGAAAGACAAATGTGATATGTACTTGTGTATACATGGATATTAGCTGTTAAGTCTATAGCCCATAATCCAAAGAACCACAGTGGATAAAAATAGAATAAGGGACTGGGCAGGTGGCAGAGAGATTTCCTTAGGAAACGGAAGTAGAATAAATAGTTATGGATGGATGTGAGGGGACTTGAACATGAGGATCAAATGAGAGGGGGAAAGGAGGAGAGCAAAGGAAAATAGAGGGAAGAAAGGCACAAGGGAGAGAATTTGGGGTAGGGGATCTAAAATTATGGGCCAATTTAAGGGTTATATAGAAGCCTAATACAGTAGAAATTTCTTTAAATATATGCATGTATGGAGACAATCTATATGAATTCACCAAATAACGGTAAAGACAGAGCACAAACTGGACATCTCTGGTCACCAAATGAAGTTTCCAGTCCTTGAATTGGGTTAAATCTAATTGAGTTGTCAATCAAAGGAGTCCCATGAGAAACCCAAAACCATCCAGGCAGTTGCCAAGACTATTAATTGCTCTCCACAAACTGATGGCAGGAGCCCATGGCTGAAGACAACACCTACACAAGTCATTCAATATGGAGAAGTCGAACTGGAACCTACAAAGTGCTATCACCCCCTACATGTCTTTGGTATAGGGAAGTACTCTGCACACTACCAAAGGTGAAGCTTTAACACCAATCCAGCCACAAAGGCTTTAATCTACTATGAGGCCCTGCAACAAAGCTTGTGGGCGTAACCAATGTCTGATTTGAGTTGAGGCCCACTCCCAGAGATGGAACTCACATCCACCACTGCGTGGAGACCAAGAACCGGAGACTAGATAGCCCAGAGACCTAGGATAAAACCAAATACTACTGTTCTAAAAAGAAAAAAAAAGCAATAAACTGACTCCTAATGACACTCTGCTATACTCACAGATCAGCTGTCATTAAAGAAGCTTCCTCTGGCAGCAGACGGGAACAGACACATAGATGCACCGTCAGACATTATACAGAACGTGAGAGACCTTGGAACACTCAGCTGTAAATATGACATCTCCATCACATTTCTCCCCTCAGCATTCAAGGGGAGGAGGAAAGATTATTAGAGCCAGGGTGGATGGTGAACACCAGGGAAAACAGGGCCTCTAAATCAACATGAGCAAAGCTCATATGAACTCACAGATGAAGTGAAGTCTGGATGGGAAGGTAGGTGGGAGATGAACTGGGAGGAGCTGAGAGAGGAGAAACCATAATCAGGATATAATATGTGAGAAAAATGTCTATTTTCGATAAAAGGAAAGGAAGGAACAAGTTTCATGTGCAATATAATTAAATCACAATCTCACAGTGAAGTAATACAGTAACTGATTTAAAGAAAACTGATTGTAGTTTGTCAACTT